GGTTTCACATTTCCAAGTTTTAACCAGAAATCAATCCCCAATAAGGATAGGTCAGCGAGTATCATAATGCACTCTCTGTTAGAATATATTATCTAATCCTACACGAACTCGCACGCCATCAGAGAATTGACATCGAAATTCTAAATTGAAGCCCTTTCTATGAAAGTTATTTGAACCAATAAAGATAGGAGGTTAGTCTAAAGATGATATTTTCAGTCTGTAAGGCTACATTGATACGAAAGTGTATAAAGTATAGTCATTTACACCTATATGATCTAACTGTTTTGTTGTCGGGCACGAATGCAACATTACTTTTATGACTTGTGACTGTTTGCTGTTTGATGAGTTTTCTAACCAGCTTTCACCGATCCATTGAAGATACAGTCAAAAGTAATGTGGATGGCTGTTTCACATGTTTCCCGTCGTCTCTACTTTGTTATCTATAATGTCATTTTCCGATTGGTTTCTCTTTGCTATGCTCTGCTTTGAAATAAGCTTGCTGCTAGTTTTCTGTCGCTTTTATCATCGAATTTGCAACAACATGGTAAATTGCTGCCGCGTCGTTGCTCCTCCTGAGCTTTCCCGTGGTGTTTTAGTCGGTTGTCTAAGCTTTGGGAAGAGATTGTTGATAGTTTCCTGACGAAAATGAGGTAGAAATTTTCATTTTTGACATCGGCAGGAAACAAAAGATAACAAACTCGAGATATTTCTCAGAAAAATGTCTTGCATAGCAGAAAGAGCACTTAGCATGGCGCTAATTATTGAGGCAGTTTATAAAGAATTTAACTTCCCATATGAAATGATTGGGCCAGATGGATACATAAAATAGCCTTCGTAAATAAATTGAGGCGCTTTCTACAAAATCTATTTAATATTATAATAATTCGAGGCAAGTCAAGTAAATTTTTTTTAAGTTAAAGTTTTCGATAGCGAAAGCTGACATTGTTTCGCTTATTCTAAGTATTTCTTTGGTTATTCAGGGTTAGAAGACATTTCTTTTTCTAATGAAATGTTCAAGCTTTGAGAAGCAAATGCATATTACACGTCAGTTGAACCCTATAAACTGTATCAAAGAATTTTCATTCGTTGTTGAAAGCTGCTCAAAATGTACTTCACCACTACACTGCACTACAATCTCTATTCATGAACTGACCATACTAAAACTTTCCATGATCCCTTCTGGTCGGATTTGATTGATTTTTCTTTTTATTACGTTAGGAGCTAAATATATGATAGATACTCGTCAAAGGATAAATCGTCATTTAGCGGACAAGGATCAATGAAACTTAGTGGGCTGCCCACTGGATAGAGATTTTTCCAGTGGTTACCGACACCTGAATTTTAAGCGAAAAGCTCGATTTACATCACTTGGCGAGTTTGAAGAATTCTCGCTCCACACTTCGCCGGAATCTGAAATCGATGACGGGCGTTCGGTCAGGTTAGGCCAGTTTCACATTTCCATTTCCTTAGCCAATCATAGAAGTCCACTATAAAGGTGGGTCAAAGGAGATTATATTGCACCCTCTCTCTAATCCTAGAGGCGCTTGCACGCAATCAAAGAAAAGACGTCGACATTCTGAACAGAGGCCCTTTCTACAAAACCTACTTGATTTACGAGAAATTGGAGGTTAGTCTGTACGTGATAATAAACTTCAGTCTTTAGGGCTGCACTGAAACCTGTACTTTGAAATGAAAAGTGGAAATATGGATACTTGTAGGAAGTTGATGTGTTTTCTAACAATCTCATACCGAGTATTAGAGAGGAAGAAAAAAGTTGTATGGCTGTTTTACATGTTTTCGAGAGCTTCT